AGAATAATGTGGAGAGAAAAAAATGACACCGATTAAAAGAATGTTTGCAAAGTAAAATTTTAACATTTCGAAATTAGTAAACTTGACAAATAAGTAAGGTGTACTAACTGGCAGTTTGAAAGAAATAAAATAAGTCAAAATCTAAACTAAATTAAAATCTCTTCCAATTGAGTTCACAAAATAAAATTCAAGAATTAATATTATGAAAATATCAAATTTACAGTACGTATAATGAAACTGCAGAACATTATTAATAGAGATATTTTAAAACTTATTCAAAATAAATGAATATTTAATAATAAAAAATTTAAAAGTAGTTTGCAATAATATATTTTATTTTCCTATTTTACTAATTTTACCAAGAAAAACTTCAATTAAAAAAATAAATAAATAAAACGGCAATGGAAGCAACGAAATGCTTGATTTAGTATTAGCAAAATAAATAAATACAATTAAAAAAATTACATAAAATAAATTTTTTCCCTTTCACCGCAAACTTTTGCTATCAGTACAATTTAACTACTAATGTACCATGAACTCTAAAATAAACTCATAACTCCTCTGTTATAGTGATTTATGATGACAGCTATCCCCACCTCTCAATTAGTACCCAGTTGGCAGTTGTAGGGGAAGGAAAAAAATACCAGCCAAAAACTCGGGTTCGCCGCTACAGAGACAGACAGGCAACCCGAGTTATTTCGGGCTTGCCGCTTTAGGTGTAGAAATCATGCCCGAGTTATTTCAGGTCTGCCGCCAGGAGGGTTAATTGTTCAACTTGTATCAAAATCCTCGGGCCGGGCAAGGTTGACTCAGCCTTTCATCCCCTTAGTGGGTCGTTAAATGAGTACCAAGCATGCTTGGGAAACTAAACACTGGGGGTTTCGCGTTCAGCTGACAACTTAACCGGAACATCTGCTCCTGCACTCCAGAGCCCAAGATCAAGAAAACTGAGATTGGCACAGTAGGCTTTGGCCCACTATGGGCTGTCGTGCCACTGAGTTTAGTTCAGTTTTTTAGTATCAAAATCCATGAGAGCAAATGTGCCCTGTCTTTATACTAAAAATGAACATTACGGAACTTTGATTTGACTCTAGACAGCTAATGAAAATATATTGAGAAAGAAAATATATTCGGATGTAAATTTTGTTGGACCTTACTTCATCTGAGACTTAAGCTGAGAAAAACTGAAATAAGACTGAAAAAAGTTGGCCATCAGTCTTCAAACAATAAAAGAATAAAATTTTGTAATTTTTTTATCTGTACTAACGCCTTTACCTTAAAGCTGTAACTGTTGACCTTGGATTTAATTTGAATATTATTTCTCCTAAATTTATCTGAAATCAGGATATTAAACAATCTTCCTTGGTCCTTTATAGCTAGGAGTTCTGATCATAGGTTTGAATTTTCTGTTGCTAAAATCATTCATTTCTGTCATTCATTCATTTCTCTTTAGTCACTGACCTTGATTTCTGGGTATTATATCATATTTTAAAAAATTTTAATTTAATTCATCACTTTTTTAAAATCACATTCTTTCCTAATATTTGGAAGTATATTTTATTTTAATCTTGCCCACCTCATACTCTCATCATCCCCCCACTACACATATTTCTTATCTTTGTTAGATTATCTTGTTTGTGCTTGTTCCCCATTCCATATTGGTTAAACTACTTTTTTTTCATGTTGCAACTTGTTTGTAATTTTTTTCTTAGATCCATTCTTTGTTTCGACACTAAACTAAACTAATGAACTATTTGATGTTTGTTTTTAAGGCATTATTTGTGTTTTATTCGCATTGTTTAACATTATTCATACATAACACAAAGTATATCCGCTATAATTTTGATTTTCAGTCTGGTACTGGCTCATGATCTTCTCCAAACTATTCTAAATATTTTAATCTACTTGTATTCGTTTCCAATTCACACTTTCTACTTTTCCTTTAACCACCTTGTTTATGATAGTTTATTTTTTGCACAATGATGTAATACTAGTCCAAAATGTTGTCATTGTTTGTTCTTTTAGTTATATGGCCAGCTTATTAGCATTTTAAGCATTTAATTCTCTTGATTACATCAAAAATTTCTGTTTACTGCCTTATATATGTTGCCCACTTTCTGTCTTCTAATTCGGAATCTTTAGGCCTGTTTAGACGATCCAATTTCTTGGACAGAGATTGATTGATATTGATGGAAACTTGTTTTGCTTTGAGTTTGGATCGTGTAAACAATCATCCAAGTACTTGAACGATAGTAGAGCATGTTCTACTTTCCATCCAAGTTTTTTCCCTCTTAACCAATCAGCTTCTCAAGTCGTCTCAACAAACAGACATCAGATTGTGTCATTTTGTTGTTTCTTTTCATATATTTTAGAGAAAATAAGTTAATCTGTTGCGGTCTATTTGTATTCTTATGATTTTATTTGAATTTATTCAGTAATTTTTAAGTCATGTAAGTATGATTTTATAATGTTGAATATGAACAATGCACATGCGCAAGTTTTTCTTCTGACCAATCAATGACATTCAAGAACTTGGATAGTGTCGACAAATCATCCAATTTCTTGGACAGAGAAATTCTACCAGTTTCTCAGATTCAAGAACTTGGACCGTGTAAACAGGCCTTTACTACACTTCTTGGTGGTGTTCTAAGCCTTTATAAGGATCAGCTTGTAAGGATCCAAGTTTTTTCTGCCTGACTAAGTAAGTTTGTGTAATACGCATTGGTTAAAAACTTTTCTCTTTGACCAGAATAACCTATTGCTCTTTAATATATTATTATTGCTAAAATTCTGACTGCTTTTGATTTTTCCTTTAATTTTATACATGATGTTGTTCACCCATCATTGTCTCAAATAACTCTCTGTACTTCTTAGGTTCTGTTGATTTTGTTTTGATTTATTTCTTGGTAGAATAAGCATTAAACATTATCTTAGTTTTCTGAAACTTCATTTTAAGTCTTGCTTGGGTATTGGCTTCTGATAAATCAATAGTTATTTATTTTAGTTCCTTAAGATTGTCTGAGATAATTATATTATCAGCAAAAGAAAGATAGCAATGATATTCTCCATTTATCTGAAGTCTTTTTCTACTCTTATTTAGTGCCTTGACAAACAATCATCAAAACTACACAAATGTGAGCAATTTAAGTGATACTGTGTATCCTTGTTATACTCCTTTTTCCAGTATGATTTTAGCTTTCCTGTTACCAATTCCGATTGTAACCACCTTACTGTATATGGTTTAAATGATGTCTCAAGGCCAAAAAGCAGAGAAGAATTTCATATTCATTACACTGTTTGACTAGTTCCCTGATTGTTGATGTCTTAAACCTGCTTTCTTCTTCTCTGTGTTGAGTTCAAAACTTTTTCAGTCCACTTGTCTGACTTTTCTCTCTCTCTACCCTTTTTTCTTCCACAATGTCCTTATTGGCACATTTTATTGTTAGTGTTTATTATTGTGTTTCTCTTTTCTGAAGCTAAATAGAAACATTTACTTTTGATACCAACTTTTTTGAGATACCAACTGCTAAGTATAACTTAGCTTTATATCAATTTTTAAACTAAAAAAGAAAACTATACACACATGGTTCCATGGACCTGTTTACATATTTCATGTTTTTTTTTTTATTATTAAACTTCTTATAAATAAAAGTTATGCTTATTATTTAACAAAAAATTTTAAGATTATGCTAATGTATATACACTATGCACTCCTAGGAGTAGTAATGGCATCTCAGAACTATTGTTTTTAAAACCTTGTTGTAAAATTTGCTAGCACGAACATGATTTCACCCAAATGTAATAAATATTTATTATGATTAAAAAAAATTAAATTATAAGGTACGAAGAAACTGAACTTCAAATTTCAAAATTTTAACAAAATTGGTTAAATAGTTCCCAAAACTAATTAACCAATTTTATTTGAATTATGAATTTTGGCATTTGAAGTTACATTGTTTGAGAAAAAGTAAAAAGTTCTATGCTGCAAATCAATATTTTTCAATCATTATTAAATTGTATAGTTTTTTGAAAATTTTTTTTTGCATAAAATCTTCCGGTTTGCTAGTTTTAATTGTGGTGCATAATTCTTTTAATTTGTGCAATTAGGAGATATTAAGAACATTGCAAAAATTTCAATTTCTTTAAACATTCAGATATTCCTCCAAGTAAACTACTAGTATCATATTCTCCATATTACAGCTACCCACTCCTGTATGTTAAGAGTCAAAATTCCAAATCCATAGGAGTATGTTATGTTTTTGTTAATTTATAATCTGTATTAATTAATTAGCATATTTAATGTTTTCTTCTCTAATCATTAAAGCTACATCTTTAGTCTGTTAAATTCTCATCATCAAATCCAAAGCTCTTCAGGGGGATATTTTTATGTTTGCCATCTCTACATAAATATAAAATTATGCATAAATGTCAGGGCTGATACTAACCTGAAAAAAATCTAGTCGTAAACCTTTTACATTTCTGCCTTTCTTTTTTGGGGGGTATGGGAGTAAATTGGCTGTGACTATCACTATTGTCTCAATAATATCTATATCGCTCATGGGCTGCAATAGTGGCACAACTCAAAAAGCACTCATTTTGGACTAAGGACAAGTGTAAATATGAAAATACACATTCTTTCAGCAACAATACTAGCACAACTCATAATTCAACTTGAAAATAATCTTCGTTTAAGCATACTAAAGCACTTCTTATGCATTTTGCTTAGCAATGAAAACTTTAAATCCACTTATCTCAAAACTTTATTTTTTTAGTTTATGCCGCTATTGCAGCCCATGAGCGATATATTTATTAGTGAAATTTCTTGTAAGTAAATATATGTTATATAATTATTAATAATTCATAGTTATCACAGATATTTCACTCCTCTCTGTAAAAAGCTGGAAATTAAATTGTTATTACCATTTTTTCTATTTTCTAAGTAAGTTACAGCCATACAATGCAAGTTTTTCCAGTATGTAATTTTAGTGTAATGTTTATAGTTGATGGGATCCATCAAATCTGGAGCGATATCTCAAAGCCGATTAGCAGCTGCTGTAAACATTGAGTATGACCGAAGTGTTCGGTCTGTGGATAGAAGTGGCGGTGGTGTTTAAAAGTTTACCTGGTTGTTTCTCTTACATGTCACAAATCTTCAAACTCCTTTTTTACTGAATCATTTTTAATTGAAAAATATTCTGCTTGAAAAATATTCTAATTGAATACACATTGATGAAATCAATACGGAATCTTCTAAACATGTAAGCATTTTAATTTGTTAGTTCAGAAAAGAATCATCAGGTTTTCAGTAACCTTGAAAAATTTTGATCTTGTTTTAGAAGTTTTTAACAAATTTAATTATGTTAAAGCCAAGTTTTCCTCTGAAATTCTTTTTCTCTTACTTTATTTATTGTTATGATGAAAATTCAAATTGATGTTCATTTTGAAAATGTCTTTATTTAGAACACGTGTTGAAGTTTATTTATTAATAAATATGTTATTAATTCGGGGGTTTTATGCAGTTTATTTATGTAAAAGAGATGCAACTATTTGTGTATTTGTGTTGTGGCTTTATACTCAAAAATTGCTTATTTTACCATATGAAATAAACAATGTTTTCTGATAGGAAACATTTTTATATAGAAATTGTCTTAAATTTAATGTAATTAGCATAATCTGATGTGTTTCTTTTAGCATATTTTCAATCAAGTAGAAATTTTCCATAAGCCTAATATTATATCCTTATTTTGTGGAAATGAGTCTTTTTCTCATAAAGTTTTCAAATTTCATTGTAAACTTACACTATAGTACCTTTGTTTCCTAATGTTAGAATATACAAGAAAAATTTATCTTCATTTGTTGTAACAAATGGATTAAAATTAGCTTCTGGCTATAACTATTGCTGTAGAATAATTTGTTATTTACGAAGTATCGTGGTATTATTTTATAATTTTTTTTTAAATTGGGAAGTTATTTTATTAATAGAATAGTTTTTCCAAAAAACTAGCCTTTTTTTCTTAAAGTAAGGAATATTATTTTCTTTTAAAAAATATGAAAGTTAGACAAGTTAATCATCATCATTGGATAATAATTTTACTGGTAAATTTTGTGAGCTGTTAAAATTTTTTAAACCATTTTAACATATTTCTTACAAAAATATGAAGGCAAAGATACTTAAACATTTGAAAACAGCACTTTTTCAAATTAAACTGTTTAGAAAATTAGGTGATGCTGAAATTTTACTAGTCAAACTCTTGTAGCTTTCCTCAATGCATTTTTTTTCGTTTGTTATTCATTTTTGCTATTGGTTTTCAGTATTACATATTTACAAAAACATGAAATGTTGAACAAATTTTAATTTTTTTAAAAATATATATTATAATTTATATTTATGTTACTTAATGAAATCTTTATATTATGTTGTTTATTGATTATTATGTTGTGTTACATAATGGATTTATCTATTGTTATGTTACCTAATTAAAACTACATAATATTCTACTGATTGAAAAGATTTGTATTTTACCTATTGCATTAAACTCATTTTTTGTTTATCATTTCTTACCTACAAAAGGTTATTTTTTGTGAAGAATTAAATCCTATACAACTTTTTATGAGTAAATGTTTTGATTATGTATGTTCATGCACGTTTTCTTTATAATATTTTTAAAAATTTAGTTTTTATTTCTAATACATATTTATTCTGAAGAAAATAAAATCTTTATTACCATCCTATCTTTCTTTTTTTTTTAATTGGGTGACTAAATTTTTCAAGTTTTCCTTCTCTTGGAATGATGAACATGATAAAAATTATTATTACATATTAATAAAGAGCACTACTTAGATGCAAAAGAACACAGCTAGTTTAATGGCAGCCATTGAAAAAAAGATTTTATTAATAACAAACTATATTAATATGTGGAATTTGTGCTGAGATTCAAAGTGTTACTTCTATGTAATTTGACTTGTGAATTATCTCACAAAAAATTTTAAAGTCTACATTGTTTTGTGAGATTCAGTACTACTAATTTTGGTTACTTTAGAGCACTTGTGTTTTTCAGTGTTGAATGACTTCTAACTAAAACAACAATCTACTTTCAGATTTTTTTTTTTGTCAGCCTCAGATACAGTATTGAGTTGTAAAACAACTAATTTCTACAATAACTTTTACCTATTGATCAACGAAAATTGCATTTAAATTATGTTTCTTTTGCTGCATACTCTGAACTTCAGAAAATCTCACTTGAAGTATTTAATTATGATATTATTATCAATAAGATCAGTTAGTATGAAAATTTTTAGTATAATGAATGTATCATATTTACTTCGGAAACCTTTATGCGTTTTAGCTTAATTTATATGTTATGATAACCAAGAATATTTCACATAGAACAGTGGTTTTGTGAAAATTTTTGGTTCTGTGTTGATCAAAACTAAGGACAGTAACCTAGATTGTGAACAGGCCTGAGAGATTTTTGGCAAAATATTGATTTAACGCATAAATTGTAATGCCAATGTAGTGGATCTCGGTTATCCTAATACATTGGAATGAACAAAACACTTTGTGTTTCTCAATACCTTTCATGACAACCAACAAAAAATGTAAAAACAAGGTTTACCATTAGCTTATATTTTTATCTAATTCACAATATTTTTAAAAAAACTTTCAAAATCATTTATTTATCCTATTAGGATGAAAGGTTTGAAACTGCAATACTTATGATTATTGAAAAAAGCAACTCAGATACAAGATTGCCATAAGCAGGCCTGCCAATTACTACACTTTTTGCAAAATATTATATAGAATGGTAGACATTTAAAAACCAAATCTTTCAGAAATTTTGGTTATTTTGCTAACATTTTAAAAGCGGAATAGAGTTGGAACAAAGTGGCATTGCATATGAACTTTTAAATTATATGTATATTAGTGGTGAGGAAAAAATAAGTTTAAATGAATAAAAAATAATACATTAAAACGTAAAAATAGCTACCACTAGAAGAATCTTTTTACAAAAAGCGTAGAAAGTTGGCTGCTCTGCATGAGGTTAAAAGCTTTTTGCGATCTGATTAATTAAAAATAGTCAACAGTGGTTTTTAATTATAGCTGTGTTCCATGCACTAATAATTTCCCTAATCTTTGGTGAGTAAAAAAGTGCTAAATTCTTTAAAAAAAACTTATCCCAACTGCTAAAAAAATAAATGAATATTTTATTATAAAATAAGTATGTTATAAAATTTAATAAATGTTTCATTGAAATACCTTGAATTATATTTCTGTTACAAAAAAATAATGCCGTGATGCAAAAAAAATAACTTTCAGTAAATATTTATTATTTTTCATTATTATATTCTTTATTATTACATTTAATAATAGTGGGAAAAAGTTTAGATTTTAAGATCTACAGTTTCTTACATCATTTTTAAGACTTTTTTAAAATCCAATTCTTCAGGAGCTATTCAAGAGATTTGGCTAAAATTTGTATTTTGCCATTTAAAAGTGCATTCTTTAAAAGGATGTAAAAAATTTTATACCTTACAATTCCAACTTTTTCAGACTATTATTAAATAAAATAACAAAAAATAATAAATATTAACTAAAAACTAATTTTTTCCATTTGATTATCTTTGGATGAACTAATTTTGTAATTATGTGCACAAATTTTTCAATTTGCTTAAAATTTTTTCGAGAAATGGCGAAATATTCAAAAAGTTACATAAAGGAGTCCAAACATTGAACCGCTCTCCTGACCAAACTATTGAAACCATATTTCTCAAATTGCTGCTAGCCCATATATTTTACAGCAGAAATCCTAATCCGTCAGAAGAAAGGTATGTTTATTGAGAGAAAGTACATTATTGTGTCATAACTTAATATATCATCAGCACAAATTAATTAGCATAATTGAGGTCACAGCCTTGAACCATTGAGTTCTAAAACATAAAGACCCGATCAATAGTTATTCAGGATGGTCCGTTTTTTTGTTTTGCGCACTGTACTGCAAAAATTTATCCCCTTTCATTGAAGTAACATCAATGTTTCATGAGTATTTAGTCTTTTCATTTCACTTGTGAGCAGTGCTGTAGTTGGAAAAAATATTTGAGTGAATTCACCTTTTTGCAGGGTAATGTCATAGTGTTTTTTCATGTCATTGTTAGGCCAAAAAAGGATCAATTTAGATTACTTGACCAGCTTTAATTCTTAAAAGAAGACATTTATCTTAAAAAGGGGGGATTTGCTGATAATTTGTGTTATTGTTATCTTTGATGCATGCATCGAAAAAGCTATTGATAAAATAATTCTTTTAAATGAGTGAGTACACAATTCTTCATAAGCACTTGAAAAGTACTATGACTATTTATTAAGCACAGTGCTTTGATAGTAAGAAGGTAAAAATGTATATATTCATGTACGCAAAATAATAGGATGCAGATTTGCTTTGTTTAAGTTATACATAAGGAAAGTTCACATTTGTAATAACTTATATTACTTATTTTAAATTGTCTTTATTCAAATAAAAAGTACCTAAGTCTATGATGAGTCTGCTTTTTATTGCTTGGACATAATTATTTGCTCTTAGACTGGTTCCTTTGCTTATCAGATTATAAAATATGTAAGGCAGGGTTATAAAAAAAAATTATAATCTCATTTAATATTCATAATTTTAGAAACCACATGAAATTAATTAAAAGCAACTTAATAAATGATTTTGTTCTCATTAAATATTTACTTTGATTACATAGCTTTTCAACTGCATCAAAAGATTTTTACAGGACTATTCTCATTGCACGTGTTTACAAACGAGCCTAAAAATAGCACAAATCAGATTTTAAAGTTCACTTGCCATTTCGAATCTGATTGGTACAACTTGCACTTCGGTCAATGTAGAAATTTTTTATCCAGTACCGAGCAGAAATTTTTGCTTCACTTCGCAAAAAAAATGAGAAATAGAGAGAAAATGAAAAAAAAAAAAACTGGTTTTAAATCTTTTTCAAATATTTTAAATTTTTTTACTATAGCAAACTAAACATTTGGGGAACGGTTTTTCCTCCATTCCCCCCCCCCACCAACTCTCCTTGTGAGTGTAATAAACATTGTACGCATGGTGCAATATACAGTTTAGCTTACCTAATATACAGTTTTAAAATTATTTTTGAGTAAAAATCGAACATTTTAATGTTGTCCCACAGTCTTTTCCCACTCCGTAACCATAATTATTGTAATAAACTATTCCTGTTGAATTATAAATAGGTTCCATGCCCATGGCTCTCTGGGTGGTCCATTTTTAAATGAAGTAGCCGTTTAAAAAATGGAAAATAGCTTTGACAAAGTAAAGATATTTTATTCAATTTCCTATCTGTTACTCGCATTATTGTTTTAAATTTATTGCTTTAATGTCCATTTGATTTTTTTTTATAGTAAGATCAAGTAAAGTTTTTCAGTTTTATATAAGTTACGTTCATATAAATTAGTTTTATATTAATTACATTTTTAAGTTGCACCTGTCCAATTAAATTGACATGCAGTTTTTTCTTCCACTCTGTTACCGTGTTCATGTTAACATTATTTATTGACTCTTAAACTAGTATTTCATTAAATACTAATTTTCTGAGATAGGTATAAATATTTGTATGACTAAAATTCAGTAATGTAAGGACATTTAAAATTTAGCTCTACTGTCAGCCTTCCCTTCTATTACTGTTTTCCCCTCTGGTACCAAACATTTATTAAGCTTTATTTCTATATTTATTTAACAAAAAGGAATTTTAGTAATTTACAGTATAATTTGACTAGAATTTAAGTTGCATACTGTTTCACGCTACTTATTTTATTATTTAAACGCTTTTGATCAATGGCAGTTGAAATTTTTAACTGGTAATTCAAATACGATTTTGCTTTTTTTTTTTTAAGAAAATTTTTTTAAAATGGCACTTATACTTTTTAATAACTTTGAATTTTTTAATATAAGATACAATGAAGAGTAAAAGAAAATGGAAAATTTCAAAGAAAATGAAAGAATTTAAGATTTATTAAGTTTTATTATCTGCACATAAACTGCAAGTACAATGTGCAAATTTAAAAACGGTCCACCCAGAATAATACTTTTGATGTAATGATCTTGGATCTTCACTTTCTGAGACTCATTATTCATGGTTGGGGAGGTGACCTCAAATATGCTAATTAATTAATGCAGACGATATTTTAAGATACGAAATCAGACGCAGAAACGTACTTTTTCTAAATAAATATACTTTTTTTTTCACGCATTTGGCTGTCTTCCCCCAAAATACCTCAGAGAAATATGGTTCCAATAGTTTGGTTGGGAGAGCGGTCCAAAGTTTGGACCCCTTAATGTTAATTTTACTTTTTGCATATTTCGCTATATCTCGAGAACTTTTTAAACGAATTAAAACATTTTTGCACACAAGTATAAAATTCATTTATCTGAAGATAATTCCATGCAAAAAATAATTTTTAGTAAATATTTATTTTATTCAATATTAATCGAAAAATTTTGTAATTGTAAAGTTACATCATTTTATAGAACATAATTTTACATGGAAAAATACAAAATTTTAGTGAAATGTGTCGAATAGTTTCTGAGATATCGAAT